CAGGATTTTGTCCTGCCCATTCATTTGAGTTTCACACCACAGCCATCACCATGGTGCGTATTAGAAAGTTAAGCGGTGACAGTAGGTCACTAGTGAGAAATGCTCTGTAATTCCTGTCTCGCTAACAAACAGTAGGGACAGAAGCTTGAAAGGATTAAGAGGGCCAGAAGGACACTGCTACTGAGATCCCCAAAACAAAGCTGTTAGCCAAGAAAAGGACCTCATAATTAGAGGGGAAATCCCAGTGCCAGGCAACCTGGGGACAAACGTCATGAGAGAGCCATCTTTCTTCATAGTCCACCTTGCTGAACCATGGGATTCCCACCATGTTCCCTTGGAAAATAAGAAGGGACACGAGAAATACAGGGCTACCCGAGCCCTCTTTTCATCACCTCCACAAGCAGCTTCATGCCTCCTGTTCACTAAGTGGGATGGAATATTTCAGTGCCCTTCCTACCAGGCAGATACTCGGGTATCATTCAGCCTCATGCACAGCCAGTGAGGAGCATCTAGCTCAGCTCCGCAGCTCAGTTATAACATCCTTACCTCTTTTTATTTTGCTCTCTCAACAGGAAAGCTCCAAAGCAGTCAAACTGATTTTAATTTGATTTTAAGGGGAAAAGAGAAACAGCTTAGAGGTTGAAAATGTGCAGTGAACAAAACAGCTGTACTGAAAAAACATACTTTACAATGGTAATTATGACAGATTAAACAGTAAGTGTCATCAGTGTAATGGTACAATGCACTCAGAACTAACTGTTTCCTAGTCAAATATTTGCAGACATCTCCAATTTTATTTTTTTTTAATGAAATCTCATCTAACTGTTGAACTGAGCTTAAAAACCACCTTGAGGCTCACAAGAGCTTTCACTGTCAGAAGCTCTGTCACATAGTTGAACTCTAATTTGCCTCTGGTGATTCACAGCCTGAACTATAGGAATGCTGTAAACGTAGCTTTTTAGGTGGTGCTGAGACAGAGAAATCTTTGCCTACAGGGAGAAGGCCAGATCCTGAGAGGGGCTGAGGACCTATTCTTCTCTTGAAGAGAATCTTTGATAAAGATTTTTTCTGCTTCACAAACACATGCACACCCAACCATGCAGTCCTGATAAAGCTGTCCTTTATGGATAACTAAGTGCCTGGAATCCTTTTGTCACTCAATATGTACGTGCATGACAGGTATGGGGTTGCAACCATGATGCTAAATAAAATGAACTGACCCCTCTGAGAACTTTCTGAGAGCTTCCCAGCTATTGGATGGGGAGGTATCACAATTTAACCAATGGTACATTAATGCTAAATTATAGTATTTGAAACCATGGGGTTTCTATTTATACCGACTGAGTTCATGAATTTTTAGAAAAAATGTAAGGAAAGACCGATGGTAAAGTCCTCATGTACTAATGACAGTTATTTAAGGAAATAGGCTTTGCATGTTGCTGGACATTTTGCAAAGAATATTCAGTGGGCTGAAACCTGAAGTTGACCCTTCACTATTGTTTTTTTTTTTAAGCAAAATGTCCATTGGCATCAATAAGAACTTTGTTTAAATAAAGGAAATCACCTCAGACTTGACCCCTTATGGATATGTCTCTTTGTCATGTTCAATATAGCTGTCTAAGCTTCTGTATTTGTGACATCCTGCTTCCTCTCAGGTCTCACAACATCATTCTCTCTCACGTATTTGCCAGGTTTTCCCATGTTTCCTTTAAGTATCTACTTGGACTGAGTTTTCTCAAGTCTAAGAAAGATGATGAGGAGCGCTCAGCAGAGAAGGAGAAGCTGTGTTTTGCTGCAGTCCTATTAATCCTTTAAGAAATTTGGAATCAGAAGGCGAGCTGGCATGGGTTGTATTTTCAAACTGGCTGTGAAAGCCACAGATTCACACATGGCCAACCATTTTTCCCCCCCTGAGGTAATGAGAAAACAATCCTGTGTGCCTCCCCTGCTGGCTTTGCAGAAGTAACTGAGCCGTGAGCCTTAACTCCCACCACTCTGAGAAAGTAAAATTCTAAGTATAGCAATGAAATCATTAAAAAGAGAGGAAACAGACTGGTGTTTGCCAAATGGGAAAGGTCACACAGCTAGGCAAATAATATTTATTTTAACACTCCCAATGTCTGCTAAAGATAACAGAGAGTGAAAATTAACGCGAGAGCTATCATACTGAAGAAAGAGTAGTTAACAAGCACCTTTAAAGCAACAATACAAGGGAGGTATTTTGGTGCCGTACGTAAAGGCATCAGCTTGTACCAGCTGTCCTGAATACCCACCATATGGGGCATTTTGTGGACAGGCGGGGGCACCCTGGGAACCGGGAAGAGACCCCACTATCTTCATTTCAATAAGGTTTCTCATGGGACTTGTGCCAATAAAACCATTACAGCTTTTCCGAAACGGCTCCATATAGCATCAGAGCTGGGTCAGAACGGAGCATGAATTGGAATTTGGATGCAGGAAACAGCTGAGCTCCCTGCAAAACTGTGTCTGGAAACTCAGTACGGAAAACAACTTATGAATGGATTTAACTTTCCTATTTCACTTTGCCCTTCTGTAAAGCCTTCTAGATTCTCCAAGAGAGAAACCTAACATACAGAGCAAAGACCCCCACCGAAATCTACTTTGCTCCTGTAATTTATCATTCTTGATTTTTCTGAGCTGAAGATGAGAGATGATGATAACTGAGGGAGTTACAGAAGGCTGCCATCCTTATTCCTGAATTTCTTCCTGTTTATCGCCCTTTGACAAGTGGCTGACTCAACAGACAACTGAAAAAAGACTAAATAACTCTTCTTTGAGTGGTATTTTAAGCTGCAGTATTTTGAGTACTGCTATTACTGTCACAACCGAATATTCCAGCAGACTGTCTGACCCCCCTCCTGAATCAGAATGCCGTCAGGCTAAATATTTGCACAAATTCCAAGTGCTGCCCTGCAGATTCTGCACAGAGAAGATATATTTTACGTCCAACACAGTAAAAGCTGTTTAGTCCACCATTTGATCTTTAAAATATGCAGTCTTTAGAGAAGACACCAAAATAAGTATATTTAACTGCAGATCAAGCATAATCCATGTTTTCTCAAGATCTCATTTAATATCTGTACTTCTTCATCCACAAACAGGTACAACTTCAGCAACTAATCAAACCACAGTAACACAGTCACAGTAGAGAGATCAATAAATCTGAAATTGCACATAAGGTAAGGGCAAAAGGAAGGCACTTCATAGCCTTCAAAAGATTGATTTGAACCAAAGTTGCTGAGCTGCTGGCTAATGAAAGCAATTGTCTTAGTTGGAATTTTTTGAGAGCAAATGTTAATACATCAAACATACAAATAAGGTCAGTGAAAGACTTCACCTAATCAGCAAAATTCTTCTGTCTTCAAGTCTTTTAGAAAAAACAGAAGAATTGAAGTCTAGCTCTGAGAAAGGAGGCCTGTGAGTTTGCACTGAGAAGAGATGGAAGTCTACTGACTGCAGCTAAGGAAGGTTTCCCCACCCCAATATGCACCTGTCTTTAGGATACGGCTATGTCACCCCATGCAGCAGTGGCTGCACACCCAAAGCTTCCATTTATTTGGGTTTTGTGTTACTTCTGAGAAAAGCACCATGTTGTCTATTGGTGGGCTACTAATCTGCTTCTCAACTGGCTTGGCAGATTGGAGTTATCATCCAACCACAGCATATTGCTAGCATGCCCAGCACAGGATGGGGCTTGTGCTGACAAGGACATGTGAAAGTTGGATTTGAAAGAAACCCACAATCAAAATGTTGAACAACAGTTTTTATGCTCCCCAAAGAATAAAATCAAGGAATTTGAAGCCAAGGGCTGAAAATGCTTATTTCTGAAGGAAAGGTGATGAACCAGGCTGCAGAGCAGATTAGATAGATAACAGAAAGAACTACCTGCTTCTTTTTGAAAGGGAGAGGAAAATACGCATTTTCGAGCCCTCCTACTGGGGTAGTAGCAAAAAAATGAAACTCCGTTCCATAATCCTGGCTCTCTGAGGCATGTCGATTTCCTAAACAGCTCTCTTCTGACCACTTTTCTTTTGCCGGTATCTAAAAAAGTGTTATTACAAGTCTCCTTGCAATGGTGGGTACGAGAAAGCAGGACTATAGGCAGGTAAAAGGTTTCTCTGTCCTCTGTCTTTTTTCCCTAACTTGCAATTAGCTTGTTGCTTTCGGTATATTTCAACGTGAAATACGCTCTTGCGATCAGAAGATTGAGTTAATAAAACACATCAACCAGAAAAAAAACGTAAAAATCTATACCTCTTTCTGTTTGAATAGTTGTTCTGTCACTAGCTCACTGACCAACTTTGCACAGCTCATTAAGACCTGCAGTTTTCAGAAGTATTCAATAATTTGTATTCATATCCCATGTGCAGACTGAAATACAGGATTAAGACTGATTTTCAGGGATACTGGGCACCTATAATTTCACATGAAGCTGTTTGGAGCGCAGATGCTCAATATCTTAAAACAAAGATCCAGTGCATCCATAATTTAGCGCTTAACTTTGGTTGCAGTTATAACACAAAAAAGATGTGTCCATTGCCTTCTCAGGTCGGAAGTCTCAAAGTAAAGAGATTGAAAACCTTGGACTAAACATCATAGTAACAATATACCCATCGGAGAAAGAGGGAAAACACCTATCTGTCTGCTTCCCTGGGGGACCGTGAGGATGACTGTTTGACCATTGTTAAATTCTTCTGTTGCTTCCAATATATCAGGGCATCTTTCGTCATTCGGCTTTTAGACAGAATGACAACCAAACCATCAAGCCCTCCTGGAATGGGAAAGGACTAGAAACACGAAAAACAGACCACCGATGGCAGGAGATGAATGCAGCAGGGAAAGGCACCGCCTGTCATTTGTGTCACCTCCCACAGCGCCAGTCCAGTGAACTGCCTGAACAGCAGCAGCACTGACGGCAGCAGTGCTTGCAGTTCTTGTACAACTACCCTTTCCTTTTTCAGATTACTCACACGTTTAGGATGAAGGCAGTGGAAGAGGTGAGGAGGGGATCATTTCTTACTATTTAAGCCCTGGTCACAGTGAAGAGGCCAAATCCTTAACTGTCTTCTCAGCAAAAGACAACTAAAAAGCAAAACAGCTAATGAAAGGCGGTGTCCTTAAGTAATAACGAAGATCAAGGGACCCGACCAGCAATTCTTGCTCTATTTCCCTGTGGTTTTTGCAGTTCTAAAAAGTGATTGTGATTTGGTGAAGGAAGGAAAGGGGGAAAAAAAAGGAACGAATAAAAAGAAAGAGGGGGAGGAGTAGTCTCTTTTTTTTGCCATTCCCTACTTCCCTGCGGGGAAATGGTGATCGCGTACCATAATTTTAACTGAAAATCATGGGTTCAGGATGTGTTATTTTACAGTAATCCTCTTAAACGGAACAATGTAATTTTCTAGAGCGTTTCCCCAGCTCAGCAGACGTTTTGTTCTGTCGATGGCAAGCGGACTCCGATTTTAGGGCAGGGTGACAGGCGAGGGCCGGGCGCCGCCCTTCACCCCCGCCTGATTCGACGCCACCGTTATCAGCCGCGACTCCCCATTTACACACAAGGCACAAGGGAAAAGTTTAGGGACGTATAAACGCGTGCGTGGTTTCTAAACGCCCCTGC